AGGTAAACAGGTCTCCAATGATGGTATTGTATGTACCATCATTATGCTTTTGAGAAAATTAACTTTCCATGTGTCCCAAAAATCACTGTCCATTATTCTGAACTATAAGGTTGGCCTGACAACATACCTGTCGGGACCGTTTGGCTAGACATGATGGGCACAGGAAGACAGAAGGCAAATACCTCAACTAATTCACTCAGTGAGCACTTGCTCTGATTCCTACTGTACTAAATTGACTAGCCATGCAAAAAATAGGATTAACTGTCCAATTAAGAACTCATACTTTTTTTTCATTAAACAATTGAGCCTGCCTATACCAGGAAGTTATTAATAAAATAAACCACTAAATTTGAAATAGACGGTAGTTAAGTTGAGAACTTTCTTCTTTATCAAATCACATTTTAGCTCACCTAAAAGTAATACCAGGTTTCCAGCTTTCAAAATAAATGAAGGCTACTCAGTAAATGCCGAAAGCCCATAAAAATCTGAGCCAAGTGAGTGTTATTTCAGGCTGGTATTTATCCCGGGGGTAATGTTTTATGGGAAGCATGTAAGAAACATGTTTCAATGTATATCATATTTGTTAAAATATTTTTTAGCATTTTTGTATTTTTCTTGGCAACTTAGAAATTCACCCTTCAAATAAATTAAGAAACAAATGTATGAAAATAATGTATATTTAGTTTATATTTCTTAGTAGTGAATATTGTCTTTTTTTTTTTTTTTAAGGAAGATTGGCCCTGAGCTAACATCTGTTGCCAATCTTCCTCCTTTTTTCTTTTCTCTCCAAACCCCCCCAGTACATGGTTGTATATCCTAGTTGTAGGTTCTTCTAGTTCTTCTCTATGGGGTGCTTCCTCAGCATGGCTTGATGAGCAGTGCTAGGTCTGTGCCCAGGATCCAAACCGGCAAACTCCGGGTGGCCAAAGCAGAGCACGTGAACTTAACCACTTGACCCCTGAATATTATCTTTTAACGCTTGTCTCTTCTCTGTAATCACTCACTTTTTCTCTAATCTTAAAAGACCCAGGACCTACCTTTACCTCTATACAATGGTTCCTTGGTGGGGAATATTCACAATGAGAATTTTAATGATCTCAATTAAGACTAAGTGAGGCAAAGTTTTCAGGAAGCTGAGGATGAGACAAACCTTACAGCCTATCTTCTACTTCTTATAACATCTTAGATTCTTCTGGGTCACAGGAAGATTGGAAACTTCAACTCTTATCGCCAAATTCCAGCCTCTTTGTAGTTCTAATTTTCCTTTGGCCAGACCCAGCTTGCATGATTTCAACAAAGTCTCCTGTCTCTGCTTTAATTCAGATCTATTTCCTCCTCTATTTGGGTACACTTCTGCTGGTGCTCGAAAATCTCACCCCACTCCCATCCTTAGACTCCTGGATTTTGCCACTTGACGCTACTAGTATTAATGAATGAGCAGAGGACAAGCACTTCTATAAAACTTTACATGATTAGGAAGAAGTAAGAGGTCTCTGCCGTGCAGTCTTTCTGCTGACAGATGTCAATGTGATATTCAAAATGTGTATAATTAAGCTGCAAATAAAACATTTTTGGGGGACTTAAAACCACTATCGTATTTCTTCTAATTTTATAGGTCATATTGATGATATTGTTGAATAGAATCCACGAACTTGCTTAATAATAAATGACAGGTTACAGTTTTAGCAGATGTTTGCATTTTATTAATAATTTCATATATTTAGCCACTTAAACAAAAGCTGCACAGATTAGAATTAGAATGCTTGCAAATGTTATTGTTTTTGATCCCTCTAATAGAATTCATTTGTAACTTCCAGTCACCATGTATGTGGCTATCTGAGCATGTTACCCATGAAAGTGCTTCGAATCAAGCATTTCTTTTCCACACATTGTTTCATCAAAACTTGGAATAGCATTTTTTTAAACAACCAGAGAAAAGAGAACTATAACAGGAGTCAGCTCTTGTCATGAACCTTATGAATTGTTTAGAGGTATATTAATAGGTAGCATCAATTCATATACCAGCTTTCGAATGTTCCTTTTTCCAGTTTGTAGTTCTCAATCATTCTCTGTGTTTTATTTCCTTGGCTTAAAATTTAACGTAGTGTTACTTTCCTTAGCCAGCTATCTTGGACTCTCACATGTTCTGAAAAACCTTGTGCCCCTTCCTGATCCCTTGGAAAATTTTCTCACAGGAGCATTATATATTTAGTTTGATGAATTTCAGAGAGAAAACACAGCTCATCTATGATTCAAAAATATTACTAATTCTCCATCATTGAGGATCTCTCAAAAACTGGTTGCTGAGGATGATAGACTCTTCTACCAGCCTACAGGATCATAGGAGATTGAGAAAAGTTCTATGGTTTATGGGGGCTGGCTAGTTGCCTTCCCACATGAGCACTGGAAATCCGTAAAATTGGACCGGGGGATTGGAACAACAAAATAATAAATAGTGGGATCAAATCCACAGCATAGTGGTTGGGTCCAGCATGCTCTGCTTCCGTGGCCCAGGTCTGCAATTCAGATCCCAGGTGAGGACCTACACCACTGTCAAGCTATGCTGTGGTGGCGGGCTGTATACAAGGTAGAGGAGGATTGACGCAGGTGTTAGCTCAGGGCTAATCTTCCTCAATCAAAAAAGAAAGAGGAAGAGTGGCAACAGATGTTAGCTCAGAGCAAATCTTCCTCACCAAAAAACCAAAAAACTAAATAGTAAAGAACTGGGTAAGGTCATAGCCTAGCTTAGGTTATACAGAAAGCTCACCTCCTGTGATCCTTGGCGATTTTTCTGTTTTTCTCTTTTTCTTAAACTTTAGATTCACGTGGTTCCTAGAGATACAAGATGATCATGTTGTAACTGAGTTCATACACTTAACTCTGAGAAAACTGCCACCACACTCTTCAGAATACTTATCACCAATTAGAGAGAGGTAGAAAAATAATGGAAAAGACTAGAGTATAAGGCTTGGTGTGAAAAATGCCAAAGGAATGATACAAGTATAGTGCTCTGAGGAATCTAAAAAGAAGAGAACAATTCCTTCTGGAGGTATAAAATCTTTGGCATTTGAAATGGGATAGATAAAGCTTTAAAAGGAAAAGTAGTAGAAGATAAAGCATTCTAGGGAGAGAAACCAGGAAGAACAAAGGCATGAGGGAGGAAACTCAGTGGTATGCATTATGGAAACAGCAATATGGAGCAGAAATAGCTCTGACTATAAAGAAAGATTTGAATCCCAATTCTACCATGAACTCTGGGACTTTGGACTTGTTTTTGTCTCGAGGCTCCATTTATAAATTAGATGTAATGCCATCTTTCTTGTAGAGTTGCAAGGACTAAATAGAGTAATGTTTGCACACCACCTGGTTCATAGCAAATGCTCAACAAACCATAGCACTTCATAAAGGGATTTTTATGGAAGGCAATGACATAATCTGAGCTATCTTTTTATTTTCCTAAGCACGAATTCTTTCTTGAGATGAAAAGAGAGCAGAAGACATTTTCCCTAATGTTAAACTTCATAGTAAAATATTTAATTTAGAGATTTATTTAATTTAGAGTTATGGTTGGTCTCATGTAATAAATGGCTAATTGCTTATTATACCCAAAGATATTAAGAACTGAAACTTTGATGATTTCGTTAATATGTTGAACTTTGATTATATAGTAATCAGTGCTTAAAATGAGAAAGGACGTGGTAAGAATTGTGTATTTTATTCAGTTAAGTAATAAGTAAGGAAGTGAGATGTTTCTTTTATGAAATAGTCAAAAAATCAAATTTTGGTATCATAATTCATCTTTGAGGTTGTTTGGTCTAACTCCCTCATTTTCTAATGAGGAACCTGAGGAGCACATTGATGAAGACAGCACTGTCTAAATGCCATCCTGAAGAACAATCACAACCCTTGACAAATTTTCATTGTCCCATGGCAAGTAAGAAATGTTTTAATGATGTGAGCTTTTATGAAGCTAAATTTATGTATTTGAAATTTTCATATTATTATTTTATGTTAAAATGCTCACATTATGGGCCAGCCCAGTGGTGTGGTGGTTAAGCTCTTGTGCTCTGCTTCAGCAGCCCGGGTTTTGCTGTTTCGGATCCTGGATGTGGACTTACATATCCCTCATAAAGCCACGCTGTGGTGGAGTCCTACATACAAAATAAAGGAAGAACAGCACAGATGTTAGCTCAGGGACAATCTTCCTACCCCCCCCCCAAAAATAAATTAATAGTGAAGTAAATAATAGAGTTTTTACTATCTTAGTTGAGCAATATGTAAGATAATTTGTTTGTCACCATATTCTTTTTTAAAAATGTTAATTGTTCATGAAACCCAACATCTGGGAAACACTGAATTAATTAACTTGAGAAAGAATTTTCTAAACCAGTTAGCAACTAGTCTAGAGTAATAACACAGTTTCCTAGGTCTTGATTCAGTACTCTCTCCAGTACATCTCAATGTAATTTAGGAATCTCATTTGTAGGATCCAGGAAAACAAGTCCAATCTTCCTGTGTTCTGTCCTAGTCATGATTTATGCATTCTCTTTCTTAACAAAATTTTCCCAAGCTAAGGAAAGTAAAAGAAAACTAATTTCAAAACTTTAAATGCATCATTATTCCTACCTGATAGCTACTCTCCGAATATTTTGTAGAGTGAGCAGTGAATGCAATGAAAAACACAAACATCACAATTAGCTCTGTATTTCATTTATTCCTTTACCTCTGGATGACCTGTTACAAGCCAAGGACTTTTTTTGGTTAGATGTATGTTTCCACGACATGAATTGTGAATATACATATTACCACTTCACAAAAACTATTTCCATTATGTATATAATGAATCATGAACGTGTTTGGTCCAAAATTTAGTTTCTCAGTTAATTGTTTAAAATATGGAACACATTTTTATGAAGAAATAATTCTATGACTGGAGGTTTTGTTCTCAGGTTTGCAAAGCCATTCTTAATACAAAATGTAACTGGATCATACCATTCTAGGTTCTGGTCCTGGGTAGAGAGAAGCATTGTTCATGAGAGGAAAACATGGAAAAACGTATTCATCCTGGGCCCTCAGAAGTCAGGAAAGGTAAAATTATAATTTCTAAATTTTTAAATTTCAAAGATTTACTATACATATTGTATTCTCTATGAAACATATTGTTAGCCATGTCTTTCTTTGAGTGTAGTCATGGAGCGCCTTATGGAATGTGGTAATCAGGCTGAGGTATGATTGGAAAATCTATATTTGTGCAGGAGTGATTCAGTATGCCCCTTCTTAAGAAAGACAAGAGATGCTGCCTTTGCTTCACACTCAAGAGTTACGTTCCAATTTCATAGAATTCACATGGTAATGGAGTCCCATAGTAGTTTTCTTGGCTTCCTCGGATTTTCCCCTTACTTTTTCCATTGGCACAGGGTCTCAGTCAATGACTCTGTTGTCAACACTCTTAGATGATAAAAGTACCCCTTCACCCCCAAAACAACAAACTTGCCCTCATGACCTCTGTTTCTCCCCTCCCTGACAGTCCATTGGTCCCTTATTCTCCAGGGTAGGTTATCAGTCCTTCTCAGTCATTCCTGGTTCTGCTGCTGCAGAGCAGTGGGGCTAGGGGATTAGATCCGGAATGGAGAGGAGGGGAGATGTTCCAACTGATGCTGCAGGAATAAAAAGGATTATAAGAGATTACTATGAACAATTGCATGCCAACAAATTGGACAACTTAGAAGAAATAGGTAAATTGCTAGAAACTTACAACCTACCAAGACTGATCATGAATAGAATCTGGCTTCTTCCATTTCCCCTGTACCTTATAATGCTAATAGAGTGTCTTCTGCCTTCCTAGCTTTGAGTGACATTATAAATGTGCATTCAATTGCCTTAACCTCAGTGAGTTCCTGGTATTAGGAAAACATTGTATTTCAGTCAGTGTGAAAATTCATCATGAAGTAACCTAGGAATGAAATAGTTGACTTATGGTGTAAAAATGCATGACCTTTGGCAGAAAATGTAATTTCATCAAATGTTAAGTACCTTTCAAAATTTACATAAAGCAACAGGCACCAATATGACCATGGAGCTAAATTTTGAGGGTTTTAGGATGCATTTTTCTTTTCATAATGTGAAATTTAAGCAGCTGGAACAGTTTATAGACAAGAAGGTTTTAGGTAAGAAAACAAAGGTTTTTGAACACAGACGAAATCTGCCTATATGAGAAGAAAATGCTTTCATAGTCATACAAGTATAAGGAGAATTGAGAGGAGTAGACCAACTCTTCTGATTTGTTACAAAGCAGAAAGCCTGCAGATTAAGTCAGGCTTATGCTCCTGTTCTGCAAATCCCAGGTCACTAAAGAGTAATTCACTTGAGGGGCCGGCTCCATGGCTGAGTGGTTAAGTTCGTGCACTCCGCTGTGGCGGCCCAGGGTTGGGATCCTGGGCACGAACATGGCACCGCTCATCAGGCCACGTTGAGGCAGCATCCCACATCCCACAACTAGAAGGACCTGCAACTAAGATATACAACTGTGTATGGGGCGGGGGGGTGGGGGGGGTCGTTGGGCAGATAAAGCAGAAAAAAAAAAAAAAGATTGGCAACAGTTGTTAGCCCAGATGCCAATCTTTAAAAAAAGAGTAATTCACTTGAAAATTTTAGTCATGGTACTAGTTTGTGTACCAGTTTCATGAGTACTTGGTGTTAGTGTTATTGAGGAACTTACAGATGTTTCTGATCATATTCCTCACAACTGTCAGAGGCCTGCTCTATCTGGAGACAACAGGGAGGCACCTCTCAAGAACCTGGAAATGAGGAAAACAAGTTGCTTTTTGAGATTAGATGGCGCCCTAGCCTAATGGGTCGCAACAGAAATATGCAAAGTCAACCCTCGCATATAAGGTTTGATGACACAAAAAAGAGAAGAAGATGTTCAATGAAAACAGAAAATCAAGAATCAGATGAGCAAATATTGGCAACGCCTAGATGAATCTTTTCTGGGGAGAGTAACCTGCCAGTCTGATGCTCGTTTTCACCATTGTGAAAACATGCATTCGGCCCCAGTGTTTTTTGCAATGTAGCATGAGTCAAAATCATTGGAAGGACTGTTGAAACCCAGCTTGCTGGGCCCACCACCAGAGTTCCCGATTCAGGGGGTCTGGAGGGAGGCGGGAGAATCCACGTTTTCAACTGTCTCCCGGGGGTGCTGATGCTCCTGGTTCTAGATCCGGGCTTTAAAACCCACTGCCTTAAACTAGCAGAACCTGTTGCTATCAAATATTTAAATCAAACGACTATCTCTCAACTCCTTTATTCCTTGTTCTCCAGGAACCTGAAGAATACACTTTGCCACAAGGAGGAAAATATGCCAGACAGGTCATGCAAGTCTTCACTCTGCATTTATGTTAAATTTAAATTTATCGTTTGCTTTTCTGGATTTCTACACCAGTCTTCTGTGAGCAGGAGCATATGTAAGTTTTATTTGGCCTTGATTTACACAGTTTGTTGGGGAAGACTCTTTAAGGAAAAGAATATAAATTTTGGAATAAAATCTTTGGTGGGAAGGTGGACATTTACCTAGAAAATAAATTGCAGAAAACTATAAATTGAAAAAAGCTCACAAGTACCACGAACATCGCAACATCCAGAAAATGAACGGTTTAGCTTCTGCCTCTATACACTTCGAAACTTGCTCTTCCCTGCTAGCCACACACGCCCATGCTGGGCACCAGCAAACATTCACGTGGTGGGTGGGACCTGTGGCCCTGAACTTCATAAGAAAGCCACATGAGTCAATGCAGAGGGTGGTTAGAATATTGCTAGAGGCTATTCCTACTTGCAAAGCTAGCAATAACAGTGTAGAAGTGACGACAAGCCACTAAATATAATCCACTCTATCCAAACTAAATATATCCCCAACTTAGCTTTTCTTTAGCAGGATTCCCCATGCCTGGCCATTCCAATGACACTGGGGAAGTTTAAATGGAAGAGACAGTAGTCTTAACTAATTGCAAGTAAAATAGTCTGTTTTTGTAAATTTACTAAAATGTGTGATCATGCGAACACATGACTAGACTCCCTCCCCTGGGCTCAGAAGGCTCCATGTTACTTAGGGATCCTGAGGCTTGAGCTTGTTTAGACTCACAGCAAATCATGGGGAGAAGGAGAAAGAATGCCAGAATCTGATCAGATCTAGAACCCCAAGGATTTCCAGTGGCTGAGTTTACAGAGCTGAGGGTTAAAGATTGACCAGGGTGGATTCTACACAATAAACGAAGGCCATGTTTGCAGCCCATCGGTAGCACCCTGTGCATCACCAAGCACTACATGTTGAGATGTTTAGAAATTCCACCAGCCTTTGAGGCTTTGTGACAGGACATGCTCTGATATTTCCCCCTTTTTCCAGACCTGTCTGTCTTCTCCTCCAGATGTGTGAAAGGAAATGATAGAAAGGAGCATGAAGTTACAAAAAGGGGAAAGTAGCTTCTGAAAGTGATCTCCATGGCAGTGAGATGGTCAAATGAAAGGCAAATGGGGGAGTGGGACTACCTGAGTCTGGATTTCTGTCTTCACCAACTGTGAGACCTTGGCCATGTTATGAATCCCTCTGTGCCTGAGTTTACTCAATTGTACAATAGGAATCATAACAGTACCTCCCTTATTGTGTTGTCATAAGGACTAAATGAGTTAATACATATAAAGCATGTAGAACAGTGCCAGGCACGCAGGAACCACTCAATGAAAGTTGGCCGTTATTATTTGGAAAGTAAGACATTTTAAAATGCGATTTCCAAAGCAGTAGCAGAGATTTTTGGATTTATTTCCACTCTCCTCTTTTAATACTTAAATTAGCATCCTTCCAAGTCCAGTTCCTGGGTAACGGCTTGTTGCTATTTTAGGCCATCTGTGATCTTCAATAGCACCAAGTTTGGCGTTTCCAATCCACAGCTAGGTCGCGTTGCAACTTTTAGTGATCTGTTGTCTGTTTATTTGCAGAATTGGTCACAATTTGGTCTTTTTTGTTTAAATTGTCTACATTAGCTCTTAAAACTCTGCAGCCGTCTACTGGGGCGCCAGCATTTGGATGGGTGTTATAACACTACATTTTCTCTTCATTACAAGTCCTAAAAATAGGGTGCAACTGACTAACGTTTTCAGCCTTCACAGCAAGATTTGGTTTGTCAGGAAATGGTGTGGGAGTAGTTCTCATATGCACTGAAGGTGCAAAGTGCAAAACAAAAATAACTCAACAAGAGTTTAACAGCCCTCCTTTATGTACGTTATTTACAAAGGCCACAATCTGGAGTTCCAGGCAGAGCCTTAGGAAGCTCGAGAGACCCTTCTGGAAGGGGAAAAAATGCCAATATAGATTACACAAAAGAGAAGATGGTATAAAGAGAGACAAGGTTTAATCTGTTATCTCTGCCCTCTTTATCAGTATTCGTGTCTGCTCAGGCATCAAAAGGACTTTGAGTTTAGTCAAACTTGGAAGAGTTCTTTAATAATACAATGCATAAAACACATACGAGAAACTTCTAAACCATTGCTGGTTTCATTTTTATTTGTAAAATTTCCCCCATCCTCTCTAGTGGGTGACTACTTTTCTTTCAGCTGTCTTAATTTCTTGCTTGAAACGAGACATGTTGCATTAGTGAATCTTAATTGCATTTTCACTTTCTGTGGCTTCATAACGTTTAGGGGCAAATATTTTGCAAACATTGAGACACTTCTGAATTATTAGTTCTACCCTTCAATAGAAATTCTAAATATTGTCAGAAGTCAGGAGAAAAACAGTTGTCTTCATTAGTATTATGACAGTAAAGGAAAAGAAAAAGCCGTGATGTTTGGTGCATTCTTTATTCCAACTCTAATAAACATCACATTCTTGATTAGGCTATAAGAGTTCAGAGGTACATAATGAAATAATTTTGCTGCAATTTTTAAAAGTTAAAAAAATATTTTTTGCTGTCTAGCTTGCTGTTAGTCTTTCCATTACCAACTTAGAAGAAAATTCTTGCGCATCTCAATGCATTGGGGATGAGCTCTTTATTTTCATGCCAATGAAATATTGTCACAAACACCTTGTTCAGGCAGAAGAAGATTTAGAATAGCTTTGCTTTATCACAGCTTGCAATGTAGTTTTGGACTACTTAGACTCATACAAATGAAATAACCAGAGCTTTCCCCCTTTACTTTTTTTGAGTTACTTTCTCATCAAAAGTTTTTCAGTTTTACAGTATGGAAAACTTTTTCTTTGTGCTTAAAAATCAGAAAGAAAAACACACACTATTTTATTTAAGGAGCAAAAAGGATGATGGATTAAAGTAGATGTGGAGTGTTTGCAGTTATATAAGACTATTAGGGACCCTGCTTGTTCTGGTTTTTGTAATTTGTCCATGTCCTACTTTATATAACTCAATCCATTGTGAGCCAAACATGAAATAAGCGAATACAGTATTCCATATTTCACTTTGTCAGCAAATTAAAAAAAGTATAGAACAAACACAATAGTCATCATGGTTCTTGAATAGAGAACGAAACATTTTTCAAATCCCAGGGACCTGTAAGAAACAGAAGGTTAAGGAGATTTCTTTTAACAATGAGCAGATGTGTTTGTTACTGTTGATGGACAAGCTTATCCATTTACTTCAATTAATAACAAGAGTGAGCACATCAATACATAAGCTTGTCCTGATGCCTTGATTTTTTTCCAATTTGACAGGTAATAGTGGGGCTGGGAACATGTCACAACAATTTAGTCCTGCCTCACTAGCTTTAACTAGTTCAATGACAATGGGAACGCATCTTGCTAAGATTTCTTATTATTCATAAAAATACTACGTTTGTTGACTCTTACAGAGGGTTTAAAATCTGTGACAATTAATAGTTTAAAATCAAATCCTTTCATGGGTTATTCATTTGAGCACTAAGTAAAATCAAGTTAAAATATTTATGAACACTATGAAAATGTGGAAACTTTCTTTAGGAACCTGTCCTTTCATATTGAGTCATAAATGAAACCAACTATGTTTGACAAAGAAAGGCCATTTCATCATACGGCTGAGCTCTAACCCCTTCCCATGTTCTAAAGGATATTTTCTACAATCTGACAGATTTTGTCAGAGAAACTCTACTGATTTTAAAAACCCATGGTCTCACAAATGTTACTGTATGAGAGCAAATTATGCCTCCAGCAAACTTGACAATGGATATCAAAATGTAATAATATCAGTAAATCGCTTCAATGCTCACTGACGCAGTAAATACGTGCTTTCCTCTTAATAGTAAATGATTAATACCTGGCAGGAGGGGAGAAGGAAATTGGCAATTTCTTTTTAGAGAAAAAGTAAAAGCCCATTTATACTATTCTGGGGCCAATGGAATTAGTATAGGAAGCAGCCTCATATGCTCCATAGAGATGTGACATATCTCAGAGAATGCTCATGGCATGGACAAATTGCAGCTTCTTCAGGGCAAGAACAGCATCATATTCATCTCTGCATCTCCACGGTGTCTAATACAACCCTTCTTATACATAAGGAGGTCAACAAATGTTTTCTCGCAACATTCTTCTAGACCGCTCCCTACAGGACAGCTAACCAAGTGTCTTAAAAATAGAGGCATAAAACTTAAGGTTTGTAGAAAGTTTGGAGAAAAGCCTTACACAGCTCTCCCCAAAACTTATCTTCTCACTACTGTGCACTCCCCACTTCATTCTGTGTTATCATCTCGGTGAGGCCCTCCCTGACACTTTGAGCACCCTCAGAATGAATCACACATTCTTTGACCACAGTACCTGTATATAACTTTAATACTGCACTTATTATTTTAAATTTTAACAACTTTTTTGTCTCTGCAACCATGTTTGAAATCTGCAGATACTTTCTTCTTATTTATCATTGAATCATCTGCTTCTAGTCCTGAGTAAATGTGCAATAAATTTTGAATTGCTCTGAATTGTTGATGCCAATCTAAATCCTTTGGGCCCTGGTAGTCACAGAAGGGCTACCATTTTGTTACAAGGAGGTGGGACAAAAGAGTAAAAGCAAGTGTTGTGGGCTGAATTGTGACCCCCTCCCTCCCACCACCAAACTCATATGTTGATGTCCTAACCCCCAGTACCTCAGAATGTGACCTTATTTGGAGATAGTGTCCTCACAGAGGTAATCAAGTTAAAATGAAGTCATTAGGGTGGACCCTAGTCCAATATGACCGGTGTCCTTAAAGGAAGGGAAAATTTCGACCCACACAAGTACAGAGAGAAGATGATGTGAAGACCCAGGGAGAAGATGGCCACCTTCAAGCCAAGGAGAGAGGTCTGGAACAGATTCTTCCATCACAGCCCTCAGAAGAAACCAACCCCGTCAATACCTTGATCTGAGACGTCTAGCCTCCAGAACTGTGAAACAATACATTTCTGTTGTTTAAACTACACAGTTTGTGGAGTTTGTGGGACTTTGTTATAGCAGTCCTAGTAAACTAACACAAGTATCTGATTTCCTTTGCCCATTAAAAAGAAAAGCTGGACAGAAAGCAGTTTGTAATAGCATTGTGGCGTTGTTGGGGAAGGTAGATAATATAAGGACTCATATATGACCTCTACAGAATATCATAAAATAGAAAAGCTTGCATTTTGCCCTGCTATAGGGAAACATTATCTTCATGCTATTACTATCCTGCACTAACTCAGTGTTCAAATGCTTTGTGTAATATGAAAATGGATCTTCAAGTAGGATGGGAAATTACATTTGCTATAATCAATCAGCCTGCTCTGAAAAATAGATTATTAAAAATGCCTTCATTTGATTACCTGGGTGAAAATATAAATGGAAAATAACAATTCTAAATGCAGTGTAAGTATTGATAATGTGATGACTAGAGGAACTGTATTCATTCCTAACATTAATAAATTTTTAAGTTTTATTAATGCCTACAATAATACAGGTTTGTTATATTAACCATAATTTACTTAGGCTTATCAACACAGTGACTATAGGTTAAACTAAGGGGGCTGCCATTGTCTGAAATGAAAATAGAGACAAAGAAACAAAGAGAGGTGTGTTTACTGAGATAGCGCCTGAGGTGGGGTGGGGAAAACAAAGAACACAAAAAGCTTATTTTAAGATTATTTCTTTAAAGAAATTAAGATAACATACTTGAGAAGGCAAGTTTAGTCTTTAATCTGTTACATAGATTTATTTTTCAGGGTTTTAACTTGATTTCAGCCTCAGAGAATTAAAATTTGTTTTCTTTTATGCAAAATCCAGCTCCCATTCTATAGGAAAAACGCAAGAGTCAGAAAATATAGAGAGCTGTACCGGGGACACAATAGAATTCTTGGTTTTAAAATAGCTCATACAAACCTACAATAATAAACCCAAAGAATCATGAGTATCCTGATCATATTTCAAGAAAGGAAAAATCTCTGAAACAGAAGCCCTGGTCTACATTACCAAAGTAGGACCCAATATGCCAGTGCGTGCTTTTCAATCATTCATTACAGTTGTTTTGTTACTGCAGATAAGCTGTCACTCAGCAAACATAAAATAGAAAAATTAAAGATCACTTAGAAGGATCTCTGTGAAAGATTGTAGCAGACAGAGATTCAAATGTAAAAATATTTAAAGCATTCATTTGATGAAAAAGTAAAATAATACATTTGTTATCTAGCTTCCTGCTTCTAAAAAACGCATTCTTACTAATTCAGCAAATACTTATTGACCACTAAATTATTTTAGTCTATTTCTGATTATATGTTGCATTTACATATGTTTGTCAATATACTACATAAACTCTTATTTTATTCTGAAATGGATCCAAATTCCTATTTTCAGTTTCTTAACATAAAAACACTTTTTCTTAAATATAAGGACTGCTTCAAAAACTGCTTTTGTATATTTCAGAAGTCAATCTGTATCTGTGTTGAATAAACAAATAATGAATGATTCCTGTTTCTCATAACTTAATTCTAAATACGGGATAAGAAAATGCAAGAAAATAATTTGAAGAGTTTACAGGCTGTTGTCTTTAACAGTCCCTTTTAAGACCTTTCCAAATCTACCTAAAGTGATTTTTCTTGCCTAAATCTCTGTGTCTGTAGAGAGTGTAATAATACCACCCTACAATAGATAGTTTAATAGTTTATAGGTTAAACTAATAACAGTTATGGGAATTGAATGGATAGTGACTTAGATAAACATCTCAACAAGATACTATCAATGTTCCTTCTCTCTTCTTCCTTTTGTCACACTTGTATCTCCATAACACCTCAGCATTGGATCATTCCAAATATTGAGGATAAACATTTCTTCATTCCTGGATAAATGGACACCTATCACATGGCAATGTAGACAGAAGTCTCTGGCTTCAGCCTCCATACTGCTAGGAAACTCTTCCTGAAAATCCTTTATCAGCTCCCTCTTCTCTACTCCAAAGGTGTTCCAAGCCAGTACTTCTTTTCTCAAAACTGTCCTTTCCTCTATCTCCCACTCTCAGAAGATGATCCTCCTTCTACTTCCATGAGAAAAATCAAGATCTTCAGGGAATAAGTTTGAATATCTTTACCCAATACCTACAAGTAAATAGACATCTGTATGCATTTTTCTTCTGTGTCAAGTGTCCCCAAGACTAATTCACCTTAGACTTGATGGTTTGCTAAAAGGATTTGGAGGTCTTGGGAAAGCTGCTATAGTCATGGTTATAGTTTATTACAGTGAAATGATACAGATTAAAATTAGCACAGGAAAGAGCCATATAGGGTTAAGTTCAGGAGAAACCAGGCATGAGTTTTCAGTTTTCCCTTTCCAGTGGAGTCACACAGGTATACTCTTAATTCTACCAGCAATTATATGTGACACCACATGTGAAGTATTGCCAACAGGGAAGATTTCCTGAGCCCTGGTGTTTAGAGTTTTGTTGTGGGTCAGTCACGTAGGCTTGCAGCACCCACGTGACTGACCTCAGATACTCAGACACCAGCCTTTCCCCTCCAAGAGCAAAAGCAGGTGTTTGCATAAATGATATTATCTTTGCAAACTGGTACAGCACAGCTCAAGGCCTCAAGTACACAAAAACACTCTCTTCAGGCAGAATATTCTAAGATCTTAGGAGGTTGTCTTCCAGGAGATGGCCAAAGGGCAGCGCTGAAGACAACTCTTTCTTTTGCACGTGCTGGGTTTGAGCAACCCAAGTCTGCTGAGTTACCCTTTTCTTCCAATCCTCTTTCTCTCTTGTTTCAACCACTCACTTTTCACTTTTCTGTTCAAATCAATATTTCTTCCTATGCCTAGAAATCCTAATCCCTTATTCCTACTCAGGTACTTTATTCCATCAATCATTCTTTCTTCTCTTTCTTCAATCTCTCTATCAAGTCTAAATATGCTTAATCTCTCTTATTGTCTTTTAAAGCTTGTCACCTGAGCTAACAACTGTTGCCAATCTTCTTTTTCTCCTTCTTCTTCTTCTTCTTACCAAAGCCCCCCAACACATAGTTGTATATTCTTGTTGTAAGTGCCTCTGGTTGTGCTATGTGGGATGCCACCTCAGCATGGTCTGATGAGCAGTGCCATGTCTGTCCCAGGAACTGAACCCATGAAACCCTGGGCTGCCGAAACAGAGCATGTGAAAGTAACTACTTGGTCAGAGGGCCGGCCCATCATCTTTCCTATTTAAAAAATAATTTCAAAGACTTCTGGTTCTGCCAAGATAAAGTAACCCCATTCTTTCCAGGTAGGGTGAAAGTAAAAGTATGGGAAAAGATACATCATGCAAACATTAATTTTTAAAAAGCCAGGAGTAACTATATCAATATCAAATAAAGTGGGACTCAGAACAAAGAAAATCACTAGAGATAAAGAGGGATATTACATAATGATAAAAGTATCAATCTATCAGGAAAGAACCTAAAATTTGTATCACCAAATACAGAGTCTCAAATTATATTAAGCAAAAACTGAGAAGATTGAAAAGAGAAACAGATGGAACCAAAATTGTAGTTGGAGACTTCAACACTCCTCTCTCAAGAGCAGACAGAACTAGTGTACAAAATATGAGCAAAGATATAAAAGATCTGAACAGTTAAATTAACGAACAGTACCTAAGGGACATTTATAGAGCACAGTACTTTACAACAGCAGAAAACAAAATGTTTTCAAACTTATGTAGAACATTTATCAAGACAGAACATAACCTGGGCCACAAAACACTTCAATAAATAAAAGATAATCAGAATTATACAGAGCATGTTCTCTGACCATCATGGGTTAAAACTATAAATCAATAACAGAAAGACAACAGGAATATCTCAAACATTTGGAAAATAAACAGAAAACTTCGAAATAACCTATAGGTCAAAGAGAAGATCTCAGAGGAAATTTAAAAAGTAAATAGAATTAAAATGAAAATCCAACGTATCAAAATGTGTGGTACACATTTAAAACAATGGTCAGAGGAAAATTTGTTGCACTCAATGCATATTTTAGAAAACTGGAAAGGTCTCAAAATAAAAATCTCAGTTTTTATCTCAAGAAACCAGAAAGAGTAGAGCACAAAATAAGCCCAAGGCAAGTAGAAGGAAGGAAATAAGAGCAGAAAACAATGAAATTGAAAATGCGAGCAATAGAGAATATTAATGAAACAAAAAGCTGTTTATTAAAAAAATCAATAAAATTGATAAATCTCTAGCAAGATTGACAAAGACAAAAAGAATGCATGAAGCATAAGTATAAGGAATGAAACAGGGGATATCTTTACAGATTCTGGAGCCGTTAAAAGAATAACAAGGGAATAGAGTGAACAACTTTATGCTCATAAATTCAACAACTTAGAAGAAATGGACCAAGTTCTTGAGAAGCACCAACCTATAATTACTAAACAAAGATAAAATAGACAACAAGACCAGTCTTATGAGCATTAAAAAAACTGAATTTATGATGAAAAAGCTCTTATAAAAAAGATCTTCAGGTGTGGATAGTTTCCCTGGAGAATTCCACTAGCATTTAAAGAATTCACATCAATTTTATACAATTTCTTCTATAAAACAGAATAGAAGTGAACACTCCTCAACTCATTTAATGAGACCAGTATTATCCAGCTATCAAAACCAGAACAAAAACCTGGAAAATGACA